CCCCCCCCCCCCCCCCCCGCCAATTCCAGAGAAGCCAGCCTGTCGGCCTGGTGCCTCCACGTCTACTGGAATTGCAAGTCCCAGGAATCCTCTTTGGGCATTCTGGAAAGCAGTAGTAAGGGCAGTGAAACGTTATTTCTCCATCCTTATTTGCTGACAGCCATTTGGTGGCCCTGTTTAGAGGGACTTGTTCCTTGCTGGGGAAGGAAGGGCCGCAGGAACACCTTCAGGACCATTCAGGTCAGCTCAGAATTGGATTCCGACTGGTAAGGTCCAGCTGAGGGGCCTGGGGACGGTCCTGTGGGGTTCTCTGGACTGAGTTTGAATCTCTGACTCCCAGGGATGAGTTCGGCCACCTGTCAATGAGGTCCAGATCCCTTCTGGGTTGTTGAGGTGACCTGTAGCTGGGTCTGTGCAGCAGCGCTTGTTTCCTTGAAGGTGGTGGTAGCACACCCCCTCCTCAAGAATCTGTCCTTGGACCCAACAACTTTCGTCCAGTTTCTCACCTTCCCCTTTTGTGGGAGGTTGTTGAGAACGTGGTCAGACTGCAGCTGCTGAGGATCCTGGAGGAAGTGGATTATCTGGATTCACTTCAATTAAGTTTCAGGCCAGGATTCAGTACAGAGGCAGCCTTGGTCGTGCTTGTGGATGACCTATGGCGGAGCCGGGAGATGGCGGTTGTAGAGAGGATGGCCTTGACAGAGAGAGGGAAGATCTGTTACCAAGGCAACAAACAGATCAAAGTAATTTTAGGCCTACACAGCATTTGCTTCTTGATCTGATCTGCCTCGTAGAGCTGATAGAGGTGGTGCGTCCATCCTGGTTCCTTGATCTCTCAGCAGCTTTCTGTGCCATCAACCACAGTATCCTGGGCCAGGTTTGGGTATGGGAGGCACCATGCTGTGGTGGTTCTCCTTGGCCAGTTTCAGTTGGAGTGGACAAGTGAGGAAAGGAGGTCATACCCATGGCTCCTCACTTGTGAGTTGCCTCAGGGCGCAGCGTTCTTTCCCTTCCCGTTCAACATCATCTTTAGTCTTGGACAGGGTTTCACTTCCCCATTTGAGACTGGTATGCAAGTTGGGAGTCATCCTGGACGCACAGCTCCTGCTCGAAGACCAGGTTGTGGCTGTGGCCTAGAGGCCCTTTGCATAGATCCACCTGGCGTGCCAGTTGTGCCCATTCCTAGATCAGGAGGCCCTTCAGATGTCACCTCACAACTGGACTACTGTAATGCACTGTACATGGGGCTGCCCTTGAAGGCTACCCAAAAGCTACAATTGGCCCAGACTGCAGCAGTGATGGGTGTGCCATAATATGCCCATGTGTCATTGCTGCTTCACCAGCTGCATTGATTACCTTCCAAGTACAATTTAAGGTGCTGGTTCTTGCCTATAAAGCCATTCATGGGATAGGGCCAGGTTGTTTGAGGGACTGCCTACCCAGTGAGATCAGGAAAGTGGGTTGCTCCAGGTCCCTTCATTTAGACAATACCTGGAAGTGCCCCTTTTCCGTCTCAGCGCCTGCCCTCTGGAGATCCATACAGCTCCCATCCTGATGGTGTTCTGAAAACTGTTAAAAACATGGCTTTGTTCTGAGCCCTGGGGGTAGGGTGGCTTTTGAGCCCTCTTAGTTTTGGGATGTTTTGGGGGGTATTGTGTATGTTCTTCTAGGCATTCAAGAATTTTTAATGAACTCCTTACTGTTTTTTATCTCATCATGTTTAGTCTCCCAGAGTTGTCTGGAGTGGGGTGGCCTCTAAATTCAATTTAATTGATTAATTGAAGCACAACTTTTGGCCCTACAGGCTGGTGCAGGCCCAGGGCCCTTGACAAAGAGTCCCTTCCCGGGCAATCATCCTCTTTCCCACCTCTGTCCTTCTTGCTCGTTTTAATTCAGAGCACCCCTGGTCTGCAGGCTTTTTCCTGCAAGGGGGCAGCTCACGTTCACTTTGGGTCTCCTTTTCCAGGAGAGATTTTAGGGGCCAGGAGGGTGGGGCAGGAGGAGAGACTGGATCTAACCTGCCAGCCTCTGAAGCTGATTCTTTTTTCCTTTGTAGCCCTCTTCTTCACAGGATGCCAAAGGTGTGTGTCTCCTTCTGTTTTGCGTTAAATTTCCCTGGAGAGTCCTGGGGGGGTGTTTCCCCGCCTACTTTGCAGTCCTTGCCAGGTCCAAGTGTCACCCTGTGGGCCAGAAAGGAGAGCAGATGCCATGTCCAAGGAGTGCAGCCAGCCTGGGCTTGATGTGGGGTGCTCAGGACCTCCCCTCAAACCTCAGCCTCCAGACCCCTCAGGCTGCTGTAGAAAGCACTTGCCTTCACTCTGCCCTGGATCCCACGGGCCCTCCCTGGCTGTGTGCGGGATGCAGCCCATCCGCCTTGCCCCCCAGCCGTTCCCGAGTAGCGGAAGCAGATGCATGAAGGTGAAGCTGCGCAAACGGAGGCCTAGGGCTGCCCCTAGGAGGATTGGGACTCTGTGAGGTCAGGCCCTGGCAGGCGATGGCAGGGAGGAGGGCCCTCCAGCTGGGCAAATAGGCCACCCAAGGGGTCGAGCCGTAACAGCCGCACTGGGGAAGAGCAAGAGCAACTTGCTGGGCGTGTTCTGTCTGCAAGCGACGTGGCCGAAGGGGAGGGCCTCGTGAAGGCGGTCTTTTCAGAGCCTTGGTTGGGTGGCAAGCTTACGAACATCCCAGAGTTGAGCTCTCTGTTTTACTTTTGCCCAGCCCAGCCCAGCCTGCCAGCGGCCAGCAGCCAGCCCAGCAAGAAGCTGATTCCTCTGAAGGCCAAAGAGGGGCCTGTCCCTGCCAACACGTGGAAGGCCCGTTCGCCGCCTCGCCCAGCACCCAAGCCGAAAACCGTCTCGGAGCTGCTGCGGGAGAAGAGGCTGCATGAGCTGACGGCCAGGAAGGGGGCCCAGAAGAGGATCCTCCTGACCCCTCAGCTGCTCCTCTCCCCCTCTGTAATAGTCCCACAGCCAAGGGGCCCCGTCGCCCCGTTGGCCAGCAGCCCCCATGGCCCCACGGGCAGCCAGCCATTACCAAGGCCGCCTCCTGCTCCAGCTTCTGTGCCTCCGGCCCCATCAGCTGGGAGGGACTTGGCATCTTCCAAAGAGACGGCGGGGGGCTCTCAGGAGAGGATCCTTTCTTGCAATGGGAGCAGAGACAAGGCCGCCGCAGAAGAAGGCAGAGAGGGCAGTCAAGAGGGCTTCTTGCCTCAGGGGAATCCTAAAGTGGCAGGACCCCCCGCTGCCGCCCCACGATTGCCAGCACAGGACCCAGCACCAGCCAGGCCTCTTGCCTCCCAGAATCCCACTAACATGAACTCCGTGCCAGCCTCTTATGCTCAGGGACCGCTTGGTGCTCAGCAGAACTCAGTCCACCTCCTGTCTACGTTGGTGGCTGCCCAGTCAGGGCCTGGTGCCGTTCCCAAGCCTGCCCTGCCCATCAGCTGGGTGCTGACCCCCCAGGGCCTTATCCCAGTCACCATCGTGAACATCCCTGGCCAAGGAAAGCCAGTGGCAAGTGCTTCTAGCGCGCCGCCAAACCCCAGCCAGGCTGCAGAGACTTTTGTCAAGATCCCAGCCCCGACTATGGTTCCGGTTGTGGCAGGACCCCAGTTGCAGGAGGGCCTTTCTTCCAGCAGCCCACAGAGTGATGCAGGTGCTCAGCTGACTGATGTCGCTCTTCCTCCTCCTCCTCCTCAGCGGCTCCTTGAGAACTCAGCAGAGCAGCGGTGCTCCCCAACTACTGCCGGAGCCGTGGCACCTGCCTTGCCTTGCCTTGTCTCTGAAAGGACTCCGGCCAGCACCCCCGACTTGGGCACCTTGCATCCGCCCCATCCGAATCAAGCCTCAGCCGAGCTAGACGCCCCCTCTGGCCCAGCACTGGCGTCCCAGCAGACCTGCCCCACCTCACTTCCGCCCCAGGAGGGGAAGGCCTCCCCGCTTTCTCGCCTCCTTTCTCTAGAAGCAGAGGCGGCAGTGAAGGAGTGGGCCAAGGAGAGCCGGGAGGTGAGGATTCCCTCGCTGGGAACAGGCCTGCCTTATTTGCCCCCGTTTCTCTGCAGCTTGAAAACCCTCTCGGCATTGCTGGTGAATAAAAGGTCCCTGGAGCACAGCGCTGCCTCTCTTTTGGCCCCTGAAGGCCGGCGGGAAGAGTGTGGCCAGCCAGACCTGGAGGCCTTGAGGCAGGTGGTGCGCCAGAAGCTCCAGGACAACCCTGCCTACCAGCTCCTGAGAGGGCGGTTCTTGGCGGCCTTTACCTTTCCAGCTGCTCTGGCTGCGCTGCCCCCTCCCAGGGTGAGGACGACACTTTCGGGGGGCAGGTGGTGGGAGAGCAGCCAGGGAGAAGATTCCAGCTCATCTTTGGAGGAGGAAGAGGAAGAAGAGGAGGAGGAGGAGGAAGTTGGGAGAGAACCCCAACGAGCAGCGAGAGACGGCCCTGATGAGACAACGGAGGCCAACAAGGAGCTGGAGGTAATCTTGGTGGTGGGGAATGGCTTAGTCCTCAAAAGATATCTTGGTGCTTCCTTCTAACTGGACCTGCGATATCTTACCATACCATATCATAAAATACCATATGTACACCTTGTACGGGCAGACATATAAAATGACTGGGTGAGAAACAAGGAATTAAAATCCAAAAGAAGAAAGCAACGTAATAGAAATGAACAACCAAAGGCAGTATAACGCATGTCTGAGGTCTTAAAAATCACTGCATTTTATAAATGGTAAAAGACAACTGCCAAACAACTCCCCAAGGGACCTCCAAGGTCCCTTCCACCCTGTGATTCTGTGATTCAGTTCAGCCAACAGGCTCATTTAACCTCCAAGCCCAAATGTCTGAGGAACAACCAGGTTTTTAGCCCCTTCAGCAAGGCTAAGAGGGCCAAAGCCATCTGGATCTTTGGGGGAATGCTGTTCCAGAGGGCAGGAACGGTGATAGAGAAGGTATGACTCTTGAGTTCCTCAAGATGGCACGCTTAATAAAAGGGATCGAGAGTACGCCCAACCTGTCATTCATGCTGGAGTGAGCAAAAACAATTGGGGACAGGTGGTCCCACAAACAACCTGGCTCTGTGCCACATTGGGCTTTACAGGGGATGACCAGCACCTTAAACAGAGGCTGGAAGCCATTGCAGCTTGCAGAGCAGTGGTGTTACAGGAGCATATCGTGAAAGGCCCAAGATTGCCTGCATCACTGCATTCTGGACAAGTTGCAGTTTCCAAATGTTCTTCAAGGGCAGCCCCGTGGAGAGCGCATTACAGTAATCCAAATGGGAGATGTTGAAGGTATGAGTTCTTGTGAGTAGGTCCTCCTGATCCAGAAATGGTTGGACAAGATGAATCTGTGCAAAGACTCTTAGCCACAGCTGCCAGCTGTTCTCTAACCAGGAATCGTAAGTCCAAGAGGACCCCCAAATTATACACCGACTCTGTTTGAGGACTGCAACCCTATTCAGAGCTAAAGAGGGAAAGTCTCCAGATCTAGGAGCACTCAAAACCCAAGACTGTCAGGTTGAGCTGAAGCCTGTTCTTTCCCACCCAGGCCCCCACGACCTCCAGACACTGGGAAAGAACCTCGGTGATATCACTTGGTTGACCCAGCAGCGCATTGATGATACCTTACCCCATGTTAAATAGGAGTGGGGGGAGAGAGCCCCGGGGGACCCTGCAAAGCCAGGGCTTTGAGCTCAATCTCTTCCCCGCCCCCAAACATTGAATGGAATTGGCACTGGGGGGAGAGGAGAGTCATCACAACACCAAGCCTCCCACTTTCGATTCAGAGGATTAGAAGGAGCATTATCAAGGACATTGAAAGCTGCTAAAAGATTGAAGGCCAAGATGTGAGCACTACCCCTGTCACAACAGGCCATCAGCAAACACAATCAGCGCTGTCTCAATATTATAAGTAGGTCTGTATCCCAACTGAGAGGGTTTGAGATAATCTGCTTCCTCAAGGGCCCTTGAGCTGGAGACCAAACATCATCTTAACGACCTTCCCTAAATAGGAGAGGAGGAGTTTGGACAGAAATTGTTCAGTTCTGTTGGGTCCAGCAAAGGCTTTTTGAGGAGGTGACAGCAGAGCCACCCCTTCCTTCCCCCAAAGAAGTGTTAACATTAACATGTTAATCGCATGTCACCTCCCAGAAGCCTTAACCAACCAAGAGCAGGATGTTGATCTAAAAAACAAGTGGCTGAACTCTCAGTCCCAAGGACCTTGTCCACTTCACCATGATTGACAGGTTCAAACTCATCCCAGATAACCAGATAACACTGTCTCAGGCAACCCCAGAGGATCTGTGCAGCCAGATTCCAGCTCTGAGCAACTTTATCTGATAGATACCTGGAATAGTCCTCACCGTGGCCCTCCAAAGTTCCTCCAATCCCTTCTTACCCAGGAGGGACCGGATCACCTTAAACAGGGCTGCAAGCTGCCTCTACTGATGTGATAAGGATGGAAAGATAAATAAGATTTGCCTCCTGTCTCAAGATAATCTTTAAGAAAAGCTCCTTCTTGGGCTCGCTCAGGTTCGTTCATTTTTCTCCAGCAGCGCTCTAGGCATTTCTGAAAACCAGGAGGATCTGCAGGATCCGTGCACAGAAAGTCTGCACAGGCATGATCCAAACCAAACATTCTTATAAGGGACAAAACCCATGGAAAAACAAATGGTGACACCCTTTTGTTTGACACCCACCCATCTAATCAAAGGATCCAACACACTTAGATAGGGCTTTTTAATTTCAATGCATGGCCCTTCTGATCTGCATGGATGCAGGGTCTGGGAATAGGTTGCTGTGTTTTCACTGGCCCAATCAATCCTTGTGCTTCAGAGCAACAAAGTTAGAAGCACAGTGGTTTTTTTGTGCTCCAAGGGAACCTTGGGATTCTAAAGTCAGAAGGTGCACCAAGCTTCTCTGAAAGGTGGCTCTTCCCCCCCCCCATTGCTCTTCTCAACCAGCATGCAGTCAGTTGTGATCTAGGTTGTCCTCTGAGTTCGAGGAAGCCCATAGCATTCTTTGCCTGGGGCCTGTATGCTTAGCCTGAGCAGCGTGCACCTCCAGAAGCCCACAACCTGCAAAACCAGGGTGGCAGACCAGTGGGAGCAGAAGAGGACCCCGAATGTAGAAAGCTTAAAAGTTGCAATACAGATCTCCAAATGGGGAACTCAGGATGTTCCCCTGTGTATTAAAATGGGAGGTGTTCAGTGTTTCGTAGCCACCAAGAAAATGAATATTTAAAGGGAAAAAGCTAAGAGGAGAACTCTCAGCCATGGCTATGGCAGTTATGGAATCCTGAGAGCTGAATTCGCACATCAGGAATTGTTGGGGAAGGCTGAAACCCCAGCAGAGTGAGTGGTTTGTGGAGGGAAGGACCCAGGCAACCCGCCATGCCAAGGAAGCCGCCTGTGTCTGTGATCAGCCTTGCCTTGCATCTATGAATCTCCTCTTCTTTGCAGGAGCCTGGAACTGACAGTATAGACTCCGATCACAGCAGCCCGGCCAGGGTCCGAAGAAGCACGCGCCTCCGGAAAAGGAGACTCCAGCTGTAAAGTCAGCAGCTTCTTCAGTTCAATTGTTCTCTTCCCTCCCGGTAAACCACCTGATAAACTCAAGCATGAAGACTTCTGTTACGTTTCTGGGGTCCCTAAGGATGACACCCCGGACTGTGTGGTTTCTTCGTTTCGGCCTGGAGATGGACTGCCAAGCCAAGTGAGGGATCAAATTTTTCTGGTGGCAAAATTCTTTGGTGTCTTTGTCACTGAGCAGATTTTGACCAAATTACGAGCAGGCTCCTGCAGCTTCTCCTGCGTTCAGATGCAGGGAAATTGCCTTCCTTACCTCTCAAGCAGCCTTCTCCATAACCACATATGCTAGGGTTGTGGCTCCCAGAATTCCCCAGCCAGCATGGCCAACCCTGAGAATTCTGGGACTTTGGAGGATGGCAACTTGCAGAAGGTGACAAGGCATGAGTCCTAGTTGTCTGACCACATCGTGAACACCCCACTGCCTGGCAGGCAAGTGCCCTTTTTGCTCTCTTACTGACAATGGGACTCTCCCGACATACTAGATCTGGTGTTAAGCCACGATAGGGTTGGTTTGTTGGGGCATGTCATTTTCTGCTAACAGAATCATTGTGTTTGTTAACCAGAGGGTGGAACCAAGTATGTTGCGTGAGTCCAGCTGAGGCAGGGTTCTCAACTCTCAGAACTTTTCTACAGCTCCCCCTTCTTGCAGGCTCCCTTCCCCTTGAGTTGCTTCTTCCAGAGAGACCGTTTGCACTAACTCCTAGAGATACTTGAACCCTGCTGATGGGAATGACCTTCAAGGAGAGGAGGAGGGGGAAGTAATTGGCAGCTGCAACCCTGACTTGAGGATGCCCTTGAAGGAAGCTTTTTGGTTTGCATGGACTGTTTCTCATTTTGCTACCCGAGAGCTACATGGTCACAGCCAGATACTTCTGCACAGAGGAAGCAAACACGTAGTTATGCTTCTAAGATGTCTGCTTCAGTTGAATCCCTCTAGACCTCTGCACGTGAGCGAGCAAATAACAGGCTCCCTAAATTGGAATAGCAGCTGCTTCAGACAGAACTTTTTAATTCTTTGCTCATTTCAGAGTTGAGTCTATCTTTTTTGCATTAAAATCTTTGTATTTTACAACGCTGTGTATTGTTACTGAGAAGCTTTGCAGATGCGAAAGGCAGGATTAGTAGTCCTGCTCACACAAATTGGCATGTAGGTGGGGAAGAAACAAAGCAACTATTATTCAGGCTTCCAAGCAAAAATAGATGGTTCGAGCTGCTGGGCGGGCAGGCAGTCCTTCGGCCCCAGAGGACCTTCCCTCCTCCCGGAGTTGCTTTTGGAAACCAGCCCCTTCCTTGGGTCCACCAGGGCTTCTTCCCCCAACGTGGCGTTCCTCAGCTCGAGGAGGTGGGAACTTAGCAGCAGTTCAACCCAGACATCCAAATGAGTCATTTCTGGCCAGCTGAAACGGAGGGGCATTGATCTGGTGCTGCTAAAATGGAGAAAAAGGTGAGAGAGAAAGAGGTGTTTGCTGGGCAGGAGAAACAAAGAATTTTCTCAAGACAAGTCCTTGGTTGGGAAAGGGTTGGAGCAACCCAGCATTTCCGCAGCACTGAGATCACCAGAGGAGCAAAGCCCAGTGCCAGACAGGAAGCATCTGCAAAGGCACAAAGAGAAGCCAAGCCCAAACCACACCAGGGCTAAACAGACCATGGCTCTGCATGGTTGGTTAGCCTGGTTATGGCTAAATCAGCAGAACAGGCTGGAAAGGGTTGGACTGCAGCTCCCAGAATTCCCAGCCGGCATTGTAACTCAGCCCCTCCAGATCCCCTAATCTGGTGCAAGTCAGCATTTTCTGGTAAAAATTGTCTACATGACTTAAGGTCCTAGCTGGGTTCCAAATTACACAGGAGAAATGGAGGCAAACGTCCAGTTTGTGTTCTACCTTTGCAAGAGAAGCTAACTGGGATTGGGGCCAGTTGATTTCTTTACACTGACGTGCTTTCGGCTGAGTGGTACTGGCTGTAAGCTTCATCTCTTGAGTTCCGGTTTGATAGGACAGAAATGCCGCAAAGAATATAGGAAACAGTCTCTTCCAAACTCAGACACAAAGAACTTGTATCTTAAAGTAAGGTCAGAATACATGTTCCTCTCTTCACTGAAATACAACATCTTTGCAAGTGAATGCAAGCCATCCGATCAGTGAAATTCACAAAGAACGTGGCTTCCATGGAAAACCATCATTGCTCAGAAGACCAAGAACAAATCATCTGCCCACTTACAGAGAAGAAGCCAGCTTGAGAGAGGGCCTGAAATACGCAGTCCAAAACTGAAATAGAAACGGCTCCTCGAAAGACGGAAGTCTCTCTTCTAAAGGGTTACATGTCCTGTCTGGGCAGGGCGCTCAGCTGAGCGCAGGCTCCTTCCTCAGAGCAAATACACCTTAGGGCTCCAGAGTGTCACAGATCCAGTCCCTGAAGCTGCTTTGCAGTGCAGGGGTTCCAGAGCATTGGAGATATGCTATTCTCGAAAGAGTAACTGAAGCACTGCGGAGTCCTGTTTCTTAAGAAGTCAAGCAACGGTATAATGCAACACAGAAAAAGTGCGGCCAAACTTTTAACTAAGGCAACAGCCAGTTCAGGTGTAGGAAGAAAGCTGGATGTTCTAGAGGCGAGGGAACAGGACAGAGGCAGCAGCAGCACAGGGTGGGTTCAAACAGGAAATGTCCTGGTTCCCAGTCCCCATCCCAGACACCAACCGTTAGCCTTCCTCTGGACCCATGGGCAACTGCTAAGAATGGCAACTCCAAAGCAGGGCTGTGATTTGTAGCTGTGCCTTTTTAATTTTGCTGGAGCCATTGCTGCATTTGCAAGTTGTCTGGCACAGAGGTACAACGGAATAGGTCAACGTGGATCACCAGTCCATGTAAAACCCATTGATAAACAGCTTTCGTTGTAAAGGCAGTCTTTTTTAAGTCCGTTGATGTACCAGTGAGAAGACTTAAATTCTTCATTATCATCATTAAACTTATCGGTATTGTCTGTTCTAGAATCTCCTCTCCTGCCTCACACCTCCTCTTCAAAAATTACCACATTGGACCCTCAGACATGACTGAATAACCATGTATGAAATTTATTTAAAATAATGGGATAAAATAACTACAGGAAAACTGCAGGAAAGAGACACAGGAGGGAGAGACTGACGTCAGAGACTAAGTTGGATGAATCCATTAATTTCTTGAAAAATGCACTTCTCCTTCCCCTTCCTTCAATATATCCCTCCCTTCCTGCAATATAGTGTTCACCTGTTATCAACAGTCTCCCTTATCTCAGGTAAAAATTAAAAATGGATTCAACCAAATAAACACAGTCCTAAAGTGCAGTACCAGAGAACTCACAAACAGTTGCAACTAGATTTTTGTTCGGTCTCTGCTCATCACTGTGAGAGCACATTGCCCGAATTTGAAATAGTTTTTTAAATAAATCATGATCTCCCAGGTAACCCCTAGCGACCTCTCAGAGAGCCCTGGGGTTCCACAGAACCCTGGTTGAGAAACCCTGCTCTACAGACTCAAAAACTTTCCCGGTAACATTGCTTACAAATTGGAATAAATGGAAGCAACATATGTTCAGCCAGAGGGTCAATAGAAGCCTGTCCTCCCCAGAATACTTGACCACAACTTTGGATCCAACAAAGTGTAGCCTTAAACACTCAAGGAACAACCCAGGAAGCTTTGGCATGAAGATCTTTCTACAATGTATAAATCAAAAAGCATCTGAGATAGAGGGGTGCAATCTGAGGTGTCACTGATGACAAGCAGCCTTGCAAAGTCTTCAGCACCCTAACTTATACATGACATTGTTAAAATAAGTGATATTTTTCTTTATCATAAGGTATAAACTCAGCCAACGTGCTTTGAAAAAGATATGCCTTTAATTAAGCAAACTCATATCTTTGCCATTTTTAGAGAGAGGATTAACAAAAGCAGATTTTTCCTGTGTGTTAATTCTTTGATCCAAAACAGAACTCTGGCCCATCTGAAGTGCTTCCTGTCGCAGAAGTATTTATATGGTTTCTGTCTGAATCCTTTGATGTTCATAGAATCTTCTACTGTAATGTTTCCCTTTATGCAGTTTCTCTCCAGTATGGATTTGGTGATGATTTTTGAGGCTTCCACCTTCATTGATGCTCTTTCTGTACATTTACAAGGTTTCTCTCCTCTGTTTGTTGAGACTTCTGTGTTTGTTGAGGTCTTTCTAAAATCCTTGCATTTATCTGAACCCACTGCAATGTGGATTATTTGGAGTGCTTTTGTGACAACACTTAAAAGGCTACCAAAGACTTAGAGACAACTCAAGAAGCCACATGTAACTCCTGGGTGCGCGAAAACAAACTTGTAGGGGTGTCACGGGTTCTTTTGTTTGAACTATCAATAACCAGATTGACCCAGACTCAATAGACATGAAGCACTGGAGGCTTAGATGACTGGTTCTTTTAACCTCCCTTCAGTGGCTGAGGGGAGACTTTTATTTTACAAAAGGAAAGCTTACAAATAATAATTTAAAAAGCAGAGTCAGAGCCAAACTGGGTCACGCACTTCCTTTCTCCTCCTTCTGAGCGCTCACATTTGGCCAGCTTGTTCCCCTCCATCTTTTCCTCTGCTGGAGTGGGAAGAGGTGGCTCAGCATGTCCATCGCCAAGCCCAAATTTCCAACTACGCCACAGCGAGCTTCCGTCCAGGATGTTCCGAACACCAGCGTGTTTCCTCTGACCCACTGTAGAGGTTTTTCCTACTTGGTGGTAAATGACACTCTTAGTCCTAAAGGCAGTGGAATCCTAGCTTGGAAGGGCCCTTAGAGATCATCTAATCCAACCTCTACCCCAGGCAAGAATCCAACACTACCAAACCCCTGAGAGATGGACATCCAGACGCCAACGTAGGCCTCTACCCCCTCCCATGACAGTCTATTCTGCTAGTGAACTGCTGTTGCCGTTAGGAATTTTTTCCCAATGTCTACCAAAATCAACCCCCTTGTAATTTAAATCCACTGTTTCTTGTCCCGTCTTCTGGAACAAAAAGAGAAGAAACCTAACACCATGCCAAACCAGGACGAGGGTGTATTAGTTCATTAACAGCAATGAACCTGGATTTATTGTTTTGGTTTAGTTTACGCTTCTTCCTAATTTGTAGGGCTACCAAGATGGAGCTACACAATGAACCCAACTGAAAACGCGATCCCCTCCCTGGAATGCCTCACGTAGGGTCGTTTCTCTTGCTCTGAGAAAGCAACAGGCAGCACCTTAATAGCCTGAAGGCGTGAGTACACACATGCGTGCAAGACCTCAGTCACATCTTCTCTGCCACATCCTACAGTAGAAGAGTACAAAAAAATCATGTTCAATGGCTAGACTTTATCCTGTGCAGCTGGAAAAAAGCATTGGTCAAGAAACAACAATCCCACAATCCAGAAGACAGAAAAAACTCAACTGAAGGAATGCCACAAAGTGTTGCTTCAAAGAAAGGTCTAATTAATGGAAGTTTTCTTTGTTTTCTTCTGGTTTCGATTGAAGACATCTGTTCTGATCACTCTGGATCTTTTTCTCCTTCTCCTTTGCTCAGAAGTTCCACCTGTTTGGGGTCGTCAAGCAAGAGTTCGAGAGCGTCTTCGCCTGCCATCCGCCTCACTTTCTCTCCTTTGGCTGCGAGGATTTCCTCAATGTTCCTAATTTACAGACAAAATTGGGTTACAAAGAAGGTGGGAACCATCAGCTGTGACTGGGAAAAAGCTTTGGTTTGTGAACATTATAGCTGACTGTAATGGGAAATTGCAAACACCCCACCCCAATGACTGCACAGGCCATCTTTTCCATATAAAAAAGAAGCTGAAATGATTTTTCCTCTTTATCTTAATTACATGGTTATCATATGGATTTCATGTTTTATTTATCTCTGTTTCCTGATACTTTCAGCCTCTCCTTGTTGAAACAGACTAGTCACAGCCAACAATAATGGAGTAAAATGGTTTCTTTGGCATTTTGTTCGCAGAAGGGATTCTGGCTTGGCACTCACTTTGCAAGCCAAAGCAGTAAACCAAGATTTGTGGATTATGAATTCTGGCGCATTAAAGGCCCAGGCCTGGACCAGGATTCTAATCTCAGGACTCAGACTCATGTCTGATCCTACTGGCCTGATGCCTCTGCTGTTGTCAGACAGCTACCGATCTCATTGGCACCGTACTTGTCTAGAAAACCTTTTCAGCCTTGGCCAATCAATGGCACAACAAAGAATTAGGGACACTGATCGCAAAAATGATATCACCAGGGCTCCTGAATTCTATCACTACGTTAGGTAGCTGCAAGTCCTCTACTGTGGGGTATCTATACAATCTAACCCTAAGCAAATATAGAGCGGCCTTTTCCAGAGCCCACTTTGATGCCCTCCCTTCAGCACTGCTGGCAGGAAGATTTCACGGGACTCCTTATTTACAGAGACTTCGCCCTTGTGGATCCAGGGAGGCAGAAATTCTTGCTCGTGTCCTTTTACGGTGTCCTTTTTTATGATGCCCCAATACATGTTCTGATCTCCCCATTCATCTCTAAATTTGAGGGCCATACTGATAAATTTTATGTTTACTTTTTAAGGGATGCTGACTCAACACTCACATACCAGGTGGCCAAATATCTTCATCATGTTATACAATCGTGTAAAACTTTTAATTAGTTATGTTGTACTGTTTATTTTTACAAAGGCTGGTCAAAGACTGTAATAAAGATATTTGATTTGATTTGAATTCTGGCTTATTTACAAACTGCTTGCCAGCCATCCTGGTTCTCTGAAACAAACTATTTCTGGATTATTTAGCCATCTGCAATAGCAAAGAAACCAAGTGGCGTGTATAAAATGAATGTCAGAGTCTGCACACTTACTCCCAATGTCCAGTAAACCTTCTGGAGTCTGGTTTGGTTCCATTAAAGATTTCTTTATTAGGAGGATTGTACAGCATCTATAGGGAAGTTGTTGAGTCTGAGGATCTCTAAGCAAAGCCTTGCCTTTTAAACCCTTTCCCCCCCTGTTGCCTTGGTGCCACAATTCTTTATCACCTGGTGGTGACCCCACTCCTTCCTCCCACTCATAACATAGCTCCATCCAGCCATCCGGCCCCGGTCCTTGGCCTTGTTGGCACCTCATCAGAGATAACATCAGCACCTGTCTTATCGCTTTCCCCCTGCCTTCTCCTAACTATAATGGCAGGAGCAAGCAAGCGCCCCTGTAATTAACCATTTAACTGTAAATGTTACATTGCTAATTCAAATCAAACTCCTATGATTTCAAGCTAGCTTGCGCAGATCCTGACAACGAACCCCAATTCTCCAGAAATCTGTCTTTCTTTGAATACATCAAACTCTCTCTTGGCACTTGCATGACATTCACCAGTTTTCTTCTTGTGTCCTGGAACTGTAAGAGCTGCCTACTAAGCAGCAGATTAAGTAAAGAGCTTCTTCTCGCGTGCAGATTTGCTTGCTAAACTTCAGCAGCCTTGACTGAAAACTAGTCCACGGTATTAGCTCTGAACTGTTCCCAGGAACTAAATCCCAGCTTCACTCCAGCAGCTGAAGGATCAAACCCTAGAGAATAGAAAGGGGTGCGGAAGAAGGGCACGCTCACCTTTTTCCATCTAAGTCCGAGAACCAGCCCAAGTTATCAGCAATCACATGATGGTTGTTGCACCCTGAACATGTCACTATGACGACTCCGTGATGATAAGCCACCTTGGAAATAGTTTTTGCAGATCGTGTCCTGCATACCTGAAAAACAAGCCAAGCTCCGCTCAGCAACATTAGGAAATGCTTCCCTGGGATATCAAAGGCTGGGGAATTGGGGGGACATGCCCATTTACTTATGTATGATTTGTTTTATTACATTTTGAAGGCTGCCCAACTCCCAATGACTTTACAAAATAAAACTGCCTGGGGCTCAACAAACAGCCTAACCCCCCAGCCCAGGAGCAAAGCCACATCTTCAAAGACTTACGGAACCTTTGTTGGGTGAGCTGTGCAAATCTCCGGGGCAATTTCTTGGCAGCAATACATAAACAATCGGCCACTGCCGCCTTTCCACTTTCCCAGCCCCACTGCTGGTACTAACCAGGCTGGACCTCGATTAACCAGATCTGTCAAGATCACCAGCTTACTCAACTGAGTGGGCAAACCATCCTCAGGTCAAGCCCAACGTCTGATATCTTCACAAGCACCTTCGTGGCATTTTCTGAGCAGCGATACAGAAGGGACCGGCTCTTTTTTTAAATTTCCAATGCTAGCCAGCAGCTCTTGCATTTCCTGGTGGTCTCTTATCCAAGCACCAACTAAGCCTAACCAAGCTTTGCTTCCCAGATCAGCCAAGGCTGCCCAGGCACTGAGGCGTGTAACTATCAGACGGAGAGTCACCCAGCTGGAAAAGGCTCCCCGGTGATCTCCCCCCGGCTGAGTTCCCGCCGCGGCTGCGTCGGCACGGCCTGGTCAGCTCGGCGGGTCTTAACCTGGGTTAAACTGGCTTGCAGCTGAGCCTGTTGAACCAAGCCTGGTCTCGGGTGGTGAAAACCAGGACCCGGGGGGGAGCCCGTCGTGCGAACAGGGCGCAGGCCCCGCTGGGTCTCCTTCAGATCGCCCGAGGCCATCGCGCCGAATCCCGTTCCCTTTCCCGGCTGATTGCCCAGAGCAAAGATGGCGCCGGCGGCCTCCCTTCCTCCGATTTCCGCCTCCCGCCCGGTGCAAAAATGGCGCCCCCGGCTTCGCGGCCCTCCGCCGCGTTCACACGCAGGCCTCTTCCCCGGCAGCAGCCGCGACCCTTTCCGCGCCAACCCACCTTACACGTGTAAACCAG